GATTGCTTTAGCCTCCACACGTAACACGACACGATTTCAATCAAACGTGAGAGAAATTTAGATCGTCTAATGGCTCGTTTAATTCACTAAATGGTGCTTTTAATTTGAATTTGAATATAATTTTATATGAGAGTTTTTTATTATAATAAAAAAATTAAATGTAATTATTTTTAAAAAAAATTTATAGTATCAAAACTCAAATTGGTAAAACACTGTAGTGAAGCATGAATCATGATTCAAATCATAGTTTGAATCCTCCAACCAAATCATAGATTGTCTAATAACTTGTTTACTTCGTTGAATTGTGTTTTTAATTTGAGTTTAGATGTGATTTTATATAATAGTTTTTTACTGTAATAAAAAAATTAAATATAATTGTTTCTAAAAATTTTTTACGATAGTAAAACTCAAATTCTAAATTCGAATAATTAAATAAACGAGACCTAAAAAAAAGATTTTATTAGAGAAAATCCCAATATTAATATAAAAAGAAATAGGGACATGCCTATGGTAGGGTGAGTAAATTGATCCTACCCTACCGATAGGTGAGATCGACGGTCTATAATTGATCTAAGTGAGGGTGCACGTGGTCCCTCTTACACCTAATTCTAACACAACTTATAAAAAAAAAATTACAAAACAATCACATCTCACTGCCGGTACACACGCCGCCAAACTCCACCACGCCCCGACGTCTTCCATCGACACCGCCATTACCATCGTACACGGCGCCCGCTGATCTCCAAAACCCCGCCACTCCCGCGACGAATCTCGGCTCCAATTGCTACCACTCGCCCCCAGAAATACGCGACAAACTATGACCAGCAACATCAAACAAGATCAAAAGTAATCCAAATGAGAATTGAAACCAGAAAAAAAGACACAAATCATACCCATGGGAAATAAGTAAAAACTAAACACTTTCTCTTGCAAACAAATTAGAGACTTTAAGAACCCATTAGAAAATTAAAGAAGGTAAATCCATTTTTTCACAAGTGCATTCACTAACTTTGTTTCTTCTATCATACAGTAGAGATCTGAGAAACACAAACGAGCAACTATTTCTCCATTGCGATCCAATCATCACACACACAAGAAATTTTTTTTTTTTTGCCTCTTCCTGCAATCTGATCACATAACCCAACCGACAAAATCATTACAAGTACATTAATCAGCGGGTCCCTTGACAAAGTCGGTGACAAAGTCTATTATGTCAGCGCGTCGTTGAGGGAGGACTACAGTCCGATAGAGGTGAGCGGGCGCTGTCTTGTTGCAGGCGCCGCCGAAAGAAAGGGCTTCCGCCGAAGGGCTTGGTGCCGGATGATGCGGGTGAAACTGGGAAATTTAGCGTTTGATTGAAATGCTTATTTTTTCATATAATCAACTTTTACATTTCTAATTATTTTAAACATAAAAGTTTACTTTTATAATTTTTAAAACTTAATAATTATAAAAAATATATATTTAATATTTTAAATAGCATTATACATTAAAATGAAAAAGAAAATAACATACTATATCACTCTTTTTTATACTAAATATATATTTAGCATTAATATTTACATTAGAGATGGTCTAACATATTAGATTTCAACACATCTATTCTTTTGCTCTGTGGCTCAGATTATTGATTAGTTTTGAATTCAAGTTGGATACAAATTTCGTGCTCTAAGGACACTGCTATCATGCATATAAAATATTTTTTGCTATACTTTTACAGATTTTCCATATGTTATATTTTGTCACAAATTTCTCACTAAATATAGCATTTGGAAAATTTGGCGTTTGATTGCTATTGGTTGAAATGTTTATTTTTTTTCATGTAATCATTGTAACTTTTTCATTTTTAATTATTTTAAACATAAAAATTTACTTTTATAATTTTCAAAGCTTAATAATTATGAAAAAAAAAATATATTTAACATTTCAAATAGCATTATACATTAGAATGAAAATGAAAATAATATACTATATATCACACTCTTTATGCTAAATATACAATTAGCATTAATTTTACATTGGAGATTGTCTAACATACTAGATTTCAGCACATCTATTTTATAGTGAACAACTCTAACATAAAATTACATCTCAGTTCAAATTAAAAACTCAAATCTATGAATTGAATGATGTCATATTTCGCATGTTCCCCTCGTGTCTATTATTGTGGGAATAAGGTGTCTAAAATCTATTTAAAAAAAAAAGAGAGTAAGAAAGAGTAAAGCCTCTTCATGACAGTCGGTGTGGCTGCCAATTTGTTTTATGCGGGACTCACTTTATTTTAAGAAATTGATTAATATTTGCTCGAGGTCAGATTCTTTCTTTTTCCGCGGGAACCACCTCTCTCTTTCTTCCTCCTCAATCCCCATCTCTTCATCTTCTTAACTTCCTATTGGCAAAGTTTTCAAAGAAATACCCAAAAAAAAAAAAAGAAAGCACATACCAATATTCAAAATTTTAAAAACATCAACAACTATAGTCCTTTAGATTCTGCTCAAAAATCAAAACAATAAAAAGATGGGATCTTTCATTTTAACTTGAAAATAATGCAAATAAGGAAAAAAAAAAAAAGAGAGAGAGAAAAGCACATGAATATGGCTGGAAAAAGTTTCCCCCAGGACTCGGCAGAGGTTTGGCGGTCGGCATACGTTGACGGCATTGAAAGAGAGAGAGAAAAAAAAAGGCAAAGGGTTAAACGGGCCGGGAATGGATTAGGATTTTTTTTCTCTCTCTCAGGGGCATGGGAATGAAATTAGGACAATTTTCTCGCCATCCGATCCTGCAGCCTAGAAGTGGACGGCCGGCAGATGGTGACAGATACGACAATGGTGTTTGGGTTTCAAAACTAGATTTGGGTTTGAGCCCAACATTCGAACTCAGATGAAGGTAGTAAAAAAGAAAAAAAATTAGTTTTTAATGTGTTTTTTTCTCCACGTAGGATTCTTTCAAAAATCATACACAAATTACATGAAAAAGTACAGTACATATTGCTTTAGCCTCTACATGTAACACGACACGATTTCAATCAAACGTGAGAGAAATTCGGATTGCGTGTCATCAAGTTAAGTCAGGCCAACCTCAGAACTAGATGTGGTCACCTTTCTGATCTAAGACCACAGGCGATGGCCAGAGATAATCCTCTCAACAGTGTTTCTCGAGGCTCTACTCTCCCCCTGAATAAGTAAGGCCCCGTTAGCCTGGGCGAAGATGGGGATAAAGAATAAGGATTGAAGCCCCCTTAGCTCTGCCAAGGATTGGACAGGGGTTAACTCTGCAAATTTGTGGGATAAAGAATAAGGATTGAAGCCCCCTTAGCTCTGCCAAGGACTGGACATGGGTTAACTCTGCAAATTTGTAGAGCCAAGTGTAGTGTGGTGGAACTCTTTATTGACAACTGCAGTAGATTTCAGCACATCTATTCTTTTGTTCTGTGGGCTGTGGCTCAGATTATTGACAAGTTTTGAATTCAAGTTGGACACAAATTTCATGCTCTAAGGACACTGCTATCATGCATATAAAACATTTTCTGCTTCCAATTCCAACGTTACTGACTTTATTGGCCACTAATTTTCACGATTCCAATTTGGCTACTTATTATTAGTTCTATAGGCCAAACGACACTACATTAATTTTGCTCTTATAATAAAGGAAATTCAACAAAAGGGTACGAAAGAATCACCACCCAAAACTCATATTGAGCAAAAATATCGCTTTCCCAGTAAAACCCAAGAATCAGAAAGTTAAGACATCGCCAGAGACTTGCTCTTTCAGTTATCGCAGGCAAGTTTCCATCTTTCAGTGCAATATTTAGACGCCATAATTTTTTTTCTTTGTAAACATACTTTCACAAGAGTAGCGTATCAAAGATGCTCACCAGTTTCAAGATTGAATATTTTCATCCGCAGAATCATTGATTAACAAGCACCCATGATCTAGAATTGGCCAAATCTGTCTACATTCAACATGTGATAAAGAAAGTAGAATAATAAAATTACCCATGAAAAGGTATTAAAAGTATGTGCATGTCGTGAAAAGTAAAATTGAGTTTAGAATTCGAGTTTTGTTACAGTAAAAAACTATCAGAAACAACCATTTACTTCGTTAATTCGAGTTTATAATTCGAGTTAAGATGTGATTTTATGTGAGAGTTTTTTATTGTAGTAAAAAAGTTAGATGTGACTGTTTCTGAGAGCTTTTTACTGTAGCAAAACTCGAATCGGTGAAATAAACGGAGAAGAGTCACATCTAATTTTTTTATTACAATAAAAAAATTAGATGTGACTCTTCTCCGTTTATTTCACCGATTCGAGTTTTGCTACAGTAAAAAGCTCTCAGAAACAGTCACATCTAACTTTTTTACTACAATAAAAAGCTCTCACATAAAATCACATCTCAACTCGAATTAAAAACTCAAATTAGTGAACTAAACAGACCCTAATTATATGGACTTTTTTAAAATTTGAAAAGATATATAACAAGTAAAATGAGAGTAGTTTAAAAATACACATAAAAAGTAAAATAAAGGATGTTAATAGACGTACCTTATATATATGTATACACACATGAAAATACCAAATGTCTTTTGGCTTCATCCCAAATAAACAGGTTACCAAAACTACAAAATACAAAGGTGGGGACTTAAGAGCCAAGAAATCTAAGCAGTTTGACTATTGAACCGAAGGATCAACATAGCAACTTTTTTGTTAGTTTAAGACTCAAAAGGCAAAATTTTAAAATTGGCGACGCAAGTTCCAAGATGTCAAAACTTTGGGGACCCCAAATGAAAAGACCCAAAATTTTAACCAGAGAAGAGAAAAGGAATTTCGTTTCACCCGAAGCAAAGAAAAGACAAGGCCGCAGGAGAAGTGAAAAACCTTTCCGGAAGCCAAAACGATTCCCATGCCCGAACAAATTGAAGCGCGCGCGCGCGCGCGCGCACACATATATATATATATATATACATATATGAAGGATTAACTGAAACCATAGGCGTTGAATTTAACCATCTCAAATATTAATTTGGAAAGCTTTTCAGGTTTCTCTGATCCCTAGCTATAAATTATGCCTGAAATTCCTTCTCCACATGGTGGTACTTCGTCGTCATTGGACGGCGAAACTCTCGACTGCCGCTTGTTGGAGCTGCGAAACGCCTCGTCCGACGAACATGACGATCGGGGAGAAATGTCCGACGAAAGTGATGGTAAGCATATCGAGCGATCCATGAAACTACGTAATTTCTTACTACAACACGTTGGGGCCGTTGCACGACGTGGATAGATAGATATATGCTTTTCGAAAAATATTTATGCTTTTCGAAAAATATTATTATGGTACCCTGTACTTTTGTGTTTTTTTTTTACTTTTTAATTTGATACATTAGCTCATTTAGTTCGTTAATTTAAATTTTTAATTCGAGTTGAGATGTGATTTTATATAAAAGCTTTTTACTGTAGTAAAAAATTTAGATGTAACTGTTTTTAAGAATTTTTTACTATAACAAAACTCAAATTCTAAACTTGAATTAGTGAAATACGGGCCTATTATTCTAAAAATTTTACTAAGGTATGTCAAGATTAAAAAAAAATCACCCAGATATGTTGACGTGCTTCTACGAGACATAAAATGATGAAACTTAACTAAAAGAAAAAAAAAGTTGAAACTGCCCTTTAAAATGCTGCTAAACAAAAAGCTGCCCTTTAAAATCATTTTATTTGAACTTAGATTTTTTATTCTTGTTTTGTTTGTTATTAGACGTGGATATGAAATTGTTTTGGTTTTAATTAGTTTTTTAATATTGCTAGTTTTCTTAGATTTTATTTGTTTAGGAATTTAATTTCTTTTTTTATTTGGTTATATTCTTAGACTAAAGTTGTAGAATTGTATTTTTAAATTCCAAAGAGAGCTCAAGATATAAAAAATGATATATATATATATATATATATATATTATCATAGTACCTCAATAAAAATTTTCAAACACAAAAGTACCAAATTGAAAAATGTTAAAATACAGGATACCAGTGATATGTACAAATATTTTTAATTAATTATATGTTAATCCAAAATGATTAAGGCCTTCTTTGGCAACATCTGGGGCTTTCGTTATTCGCAAAAATAAAAATTTCGAATTAAAAATCTAGTAATGTTTTTCTTTTCTGGGTAATTTTGACAAATATCTCTTGAAAGTACATGAGCCATGATTTTTACATTTTACTCTTGATTCATAACATTTTTAGTCAAATAATTACACTAACAAAATGGTATTTATCGAGAGTAAGAAGTAAAAGTTTAGACTCATGCACTCTTAAAGGTAAATTCTCTATTTTTTTCTTTTCTTTCTTTTTTTCTTGTATGTTTTCTTTAAAAATTTTGTAAGACAAAAAAATATATTCAAATGAGGCGGTAGTTTTCCTAACAAATTTGTGATTAATCCACAACTTGGATGAAAATGAAGGTGAAACATATCCTGTGCCGCCGCCGAAAATACATGTTTCATACCACATGCTGGCTCACCATGCTTCTGGATGTCCAACCTTTCATCGTACGTACTATATATATTTTAAATATTATCTAATGCTTTTTTTTTTTTTAGACAATCTAATTATTTTTTGGCTACTTTTTATGAATGTGGATTATAAAATGTCCAACAAAGGAAGCTTGTTATATGAGAAAATTTTAGGGAGATATGTAATTGTAGATTAATTAGCTTTATGATTAGTAATGGGTATAAGCGGTTTTGTGGCAAGAAAATAAATTTAGATTTAAACTTAGGGAAGTTACTATTTTCTTTTGTCATGTTTGCAACGAAATTTCATGTGTAACAACTTGAATAATTTTTCTTTCCTTTGTAACCATGATGCGGTCATGTAGTTCAGTCTAACATTGTAGTAGTCCAAACTACTGTCACTCCATAAAGAGGAGTAATTGGCTCTCATAATGGATCTTACTAGTGTTGCCATTGTGAGAACCTCCGTTCATTAGTAATGTTCTATTAAAAAGAATGTTATAAGGCATTAGTAATGTTCAATAATATAAATTAAAAAAAAAAATGAGTCTCGTAATATAAGGTCTATTTTCTATTAATTTTGATGTTTAGTATTGATAGCGTCCCCAACATTTTTCTTCGAGAAGGGGTTGGGATTGATTAGATTCCTCCGTTCATTTTTACCACAGAATCTTAAGAATTTTAAGTGGCAACTTGGTTGTGTTTAAAGAAGTAATGTATTTAAAGGTGACAACTTAATTGATGGTGTTTAAATGACACAATAATACTATAATAAAATACTTCCGTTGTTGTAGAGGGGTTTCTTTATCAAATATTAATGCTAAAAGATCCACTGATATCCATGTTTAGCCGTATTTTGACGTGATTAAAATTTAAATAAACAACATTATGAGTGTAAAGACAGCTAGGGTCTACTAATTAACTAATTAATAACAAGTGATCATAGTTACAGTATAATCATATTTGTGCTTACCATTATTGGTGCCTTCTACGATTTTTCTGTCATAGCTTAGAATTATAGGCAGCTTGTTCATTTGCTTCATTTATGTCATGATACAATTTCAGGAAGAGATGCTATACCAAGTCACTATTTGCTCAAAATCGAATCCTTTTCATCACTTTCGAAATTAGCTTCAGTAGACAATTACCGTTCTGAGTTTGAAGCTGGAGGCTACAAATGGTGTTTCCTTTTTTCCTTCATGATTTATATTCTCTTGCATGTAGTTAATTTACTTAAAATATGTGATAAGAAAAAGGCAACAAGAGTCAATATCCTATATTTTATGTTTTTTTTTTCAGAAATATATCATCAGTTTTTAATCTTATCAAAAGTAATATACCTACGAATCAAAGTTAATACACAAATCTATACTTATAAGGGGACCCTGTATCTATACCCTGTATTCTATTTTTCAAAACCTGATTTGGACTTGTGAAATGATCAATTATCCTTATAAGAGGATTGTATAACTGTTTGAAACCAGGAATATAGGCATCATATAAAAACTCCCTCTAAGAATGATATGGTCATTTCACAAGTCAAAATGCTAAAAGAAGGTATAGATTTATATATTAACTGTAATTCATAGGTTTTATTTTTGATGAGATTAAAAACTAATAATATCCTTTGAAATAAACATAAAACACAGAGTATTAAAGGGTAAACATTATTAATACAAGTTACAAAGCTCATTTATTCTTTATAAAAAAAAAAGAACAAAATTGATAAAGTTCTGTAACAAAATTGGCAGGGAAGTATCTATATATCCAACTGGTGACAAGAAAAATGGTGGGCAAGATCACATTTCTGTGTTCTTGAGACTGCTGAATACTAATTCTCTTCCCGTTGGTTGGGAAGTTAATGCAATCTTTACTTTCTTTGTTTTTGATCAGATTCGAAACGAATATGTTTCTTCGCAAGGTAATTATTTTTTAAATCCATGAGTACTCAGCTTTAATAAGCGTTTATGAATTCCACATTTTCGTTCAACTTGAAGGATATATACTTTTTTTTTTTCTTGTAACTTTTCATAAAGAAACTAAAATGCCATTATATGCGGAGAGATTAAGTTCAATACAAAGAATAAATTTAACAAGAAAGAGAGTTATCTATGTTAGGGCCTGTCCCTTTTAATTATCGGTAGAAACCACTATTTTCATCATTAGATTATGTTTTCAACGGTCTGTTCTGTGATTAGAGTAATTATATACACGCATATAGCAAATTTTTAACTTAGACACTCGTATATCAAAAGTTAAAAACCTTCATCAAACAATTAAACATCAGTTCCTATTAGTAATTAAAAACCATAAATTAAAAAAATAGGTCCTATCATAGAAGTTCCTTAAAAAATTTCATAATAAAGAAGGAGGGGTCTATTTTGCTCGTTTTGGCTTAGTATTTATAATGAATAATGATACTAGCCAATTTGATTTTTCAAATTGTACCCTTCAAATAATAATAGTAATAATAATAAATTAATAATAATAATAATGGGCAAGTCACACATGCACATTCTGGCTATATTGCACAAGTAGTGCATAAATAAACTTTATTGAAGAACTTTGGTTGAATATAAATTTTCACTTGTCTTAATTGCCACTTTCTTGAAATTATGCAGATACAAAAGTAATATGGCGTTACCATTCAATGAAGACTAGGTGGGGCATTCAAAAATTTATTGATCTAGAGACTTTCAGTGATCGATCAAATGGATATCTCGTCAATGGAACCTGTACTTTTGGGGCAGAGGTTTTCGTGGTCAAAAACACATTTAAAGGGGAGTGTTTATCAGCGATAGACGAGCCTATTACTTGCACGCATACTTGGAAGATCGATTCCTTTTCAAGCATGACACTTGAACGCTATGAATCCAATTTGTTTGTTGGTGGAGACTACAAATGGTATTTTTTTTTTTTCATTCTGATATGAATCGACCTTGTTTATGCATATACAAGGTTTTTTTTTTTTTTTTTTTTTTTTTTTTTTCCACTCCAATATGATATACTAATAGGAATTTTGAGGCAGGGTAAAATTTTAGACGGATATTTTAAAATACCATTAGATTTTCATCAGATGCCATTATATAGATTCCATTATATATATATTCCGATGTGTACTTTTTTAGTATACGCGTGTTTCATTATGATCGGAAAACATACGCTACTGATAAACATTTCGCAGTTTAGAAACCATATAAATGTATGTCATTAAGTCAACTAGATTTCACACTCGTATAATTTGTTATCTCTCAGGAGGATTGTGCTCTATCCTTACGGATTCGGAGAGGGCAAGGGGAACAGCCTTTCATTGTTTTTGCAACTGGACATTTCAACACTTCCTTCCAACACAAAATTGTTTGTCAGTAATGTCCTCCGTCTGAAGCACCAAATCAGTGGCAAAGATTTTGAAGAAAAAGGTCAGTTCCTGTTCACGGCAGTTTGATTTTAAACTATTAGAAAGCACAATGTTTGATATTGAGATGAAATGGAATTGGGAGGCCTATACGTTTTCTGCTAGTAGTAAATATTAAAAACGATTGATTTTCATCATATTAAGTTACACGTAAATATAGTTTATTTGATTTTGGCACAATTTGATGTTTGAAAAGAACTTCCATTAATAATTCTATTGAGTAAGATGCTCAAAAACTGATCTCTCTCAAAATAGTAGGTTGAGCATATTAGGCACGTTATTCAACCATTCTGGCTCTATACTAGGTTTTTGGTATATTCACAGAGATGTACGTACTATAGTCAAGGACAGGCTTAGCTCCTGATCATGAACTAATGAATCAACCAAATATTTTGTGCCACAAGTTTCTCATTGCATGGAGGCCTTTAAACCGACGTCAAATATTTAGAATCCGTTTAGTTCGCTGATTCAAGTTGAGATGTGACTTTTTATGAGAGCTTTTTACTGTAGTAAAAAAGTTAGATGCAATTATTTTTGAAAGCTTTTTACTGTAGCAAAACTCAAATTCTAAACTCGAATCGGTAAAATAAACGGAGTCTTAAGATGTCAAATCAAACAAAATCAATGTGAAAATATTTCGACGTTGATGAGTAATCGATAGACGTCAAAAGTGCTATAGTACTTTTAACATGGCATTTTATACAACCGATTCAAAACTCCATCCTGAGGGGATATTTAATTTGCCGCTTCCCTAACTTATTTATACATTGAAAAGAAAAAATCAACGTGAAAAAATTTGGACGTTGATCAATATCATGATTTCTTGGTATTAGTACAGTAGTTTTTGTGCAAATCCTTTTTTTTTTTTTTTTAACGAAGTGCCAAAATGATTGCATTATATGAATGGCTAGTACCGTTTCTTAAAATGTTTTCTCTAATACCTTCTTTTTCTTTCCCACTTAAATGATAGTACGTACATTATGACCACATGAAATATGACTTCAGTTTTGGGCATTAATATTTTGTTTCTGATACAGCCAGCAATTTATTCACGTCCTCAGCTGCTTGGGGTTTTCGTCAGTTCATGTCCTTAGCAAAATTTAAACACCCAGAAAATGGATATTTGGTTGGTGACACCTGCACCATAGAGGCTCAGTTTGAAGTGGTTGGATTAATCAAACAAGATTAAATATTAATAATAGTACTATACTGATGGCTCTATAAAGCCCTTTGATCAACTTGGGATGACCTAATTTGATGTAATGGTGAAACGTTGCTTTAGTTGGTGCTGCGATGATAAATGGCTTTAGATTGTGAAGATTGATTAATGTTACATTTTCTGTATATACTTTCAGCAACAGTCATACTGGTGAGTTAATAATGTGTAACACCTGACTTATCAGATAAATGGACAAAATAGAATTTGGCATGATGAATCTGTTTCCCTTAGAATATGTTGGCAAGATCTTCAGTGTCGAATAAATAAGGATAGTTCTGCCTGTTATGACAAAAGTTGAGAGACTAGCCCGTTTGGTTAGAGGATTCGTTCTCTGATTCGAATCATGATTCATGATTCGTTAAGTATTTTCTCTCATAAAAAATATACGTAAATAAAAAATGATTCTAATCTTATAGTTCTAATCTATGAACAAAATAGGACTAAAGAAATGACCGGGTAAAATTCTAAATTTTTTCGGAGGTTATTGAAGAAAATAGAAAAGATAATGTAGAATTTCATTATACCTAGAAAGAATACCGGCCTTCAAGAATACAGGCTTCGAATCCTAAAATTTCCAATTGGGACGTAATAATCATTTTGGAATTGTTTCAATATTAGACAACAGTTAAAAAGGTAATAGACAACCAATAAAATTTTGTAACAGTAAAAACACTGCACTGATTTTAGCCTACATAGAAGAAGAAAAGTGTGATTTTAGTAATAAAGAGGATACCTGTCCAATTTAAAGAAACCTTGGTGGACACGTGCCACATGATGAAATTTTAAGGAACTTTCTCAAATTATAATAAATAGAAGAAAAAAAACTTACCACTCCTTTCTGTATTAGCTGGAAATAAACCTTAACACTCCTTTCTGTATTTATTCTTTGTTCCTCGTCAATAAGATTCCTCCATTATTATGGTTATCTGTGTTGTTACGAGGCACATTTAGTTGGTTAGTTTGGATTTTTAATTTGAATTAAGATGTGATTTTATGTGAGAAATTTTTACTGTAATAAAAAGTTAAATATGATTATTTTTAAAAAAAATTTACTATAATAAAATTTAAATTTTAAATCTAAATCGGTGAAATAAATGGGACCATAATCTTTACCACATAGAATCTTCGGTATTTTTTAAGCGGCAATTTGATACTTGATATAAAAAGATGACAACTTGCTGGCTTTTTTCTTTATGCTTTAAATGTTATAAATGATATAAAATCCTTCCATTGTGTAGAGGCGTTTCTTTATCACATCGAGGATTCATGCTAAAAAGATCATGCTTGTTTAGTTTGTTGATTCAAATTTTTAATTTGAGTTGAGATATGACTTTATATTAAAACTTTTTATTGTAATAAAAAAGTTAAATGTGATTGTTTCTGAGAACTTTTTACTGTAGCAAAACTCGAATTCTAAACTATATAGAATGTTAGCTGTATATTTTAACATGATAAAAATATAAATAAACAACGTTATGCTTGGAAAGATAGAGTCTACTAATGAAATTAACAGTGATAATTTTTATAAGAAAGTGATAGATTTAACAATTTATTCTCTGTACATCAATAATTCCCAGAACAAGAATACAATGTCCCACCCGTGAAAATCAAATCAAATATATATATAAATATTTTCCCATTTACGTATAGAATATGCACTCACAGCTTCTGGAAGGCGGCCGGCTTTCTGGTTGGGACGGCGGCCGAACTTCCCGGTCTGACGGCGGTTCTGGGATGCGATTGGCAGGTCTGGTAACGTTGAGAGGGAGAGAGCGAGCATGGGATTGATTTTGGTATTTTTAGGGATTTTAACTTTGGGGTGTTTTAGTCATTTAATATTAAATGAATGGAATATAAATTGTTTAATTAAATATTTTTTTAGAAGAGGTTAAGGCGCAGTGGGGGTGCAGAAAGTCCTCTGGTACTCTTACTTAAGCGTTGAAACCTCTCATACACATAGCCGCCATAACCATTACCTCCAATTCCAACTCCATTGGAGGCGGCTAACAAAGCTTTTCGCTCGACCTTGTTCTTCTTCACCAGAAGAATTAAGGAATAACTGAATCGAAAATGGCTGTGGTCATGGAAGGTGCGGCTATGGCTGTTGCCATTAAATTCCCATCCTTCAGAATCATCAGGAGAAGCTCCCGACCTTCTCGAACCTTTCGAAGCTTCTCCGCCTCCGCTTCCGCCTCCGCTTCTGCCTCCGCTTCTGCTCCTCCGTTCGCGAATTCGCTCGGTCACTTCACCCGTCCCGATTTCCCAATTCTCAACCAGGTTTTTCCTTCATTTATGGCGTTGTATCGAATCTCTTGATTTTAGCGTCGTTCTCTTTTGGTATTATTATGTAGAATTTATGTGGTTTCTGCGTACTTTTTGCTTGGTTGCTGAGATATTCTTGGTGAATTATAGTTGTATGTGATTATTTTTGTGGGACGTATAGCGTTTTTCTATTGCTTTGGAACTGGATAATAAACCTTGTGGTTGCAGTTCAATGATGGAGTTTCCATGAACTTTGGAGTTTTGTGTGTTTTTAGTTGTTTTGAACTATTTATTCACTGTTTCTTTTCTGATAGATATGAGCTAAATAGCTAATGTTAGTTCATAGTGTGAAATCTGAGTGCTTGTTGAGTATGGTTTTACCTATATAGTCCATGATATGGAATTTTGGGCCTTGACATGATTTTGCAGGAAGTAAATGGCTCTAAACTTGTCTACTTGGACAACGCTGCTACTTCTCAGAAGCCTACAGCCGTCTTGAGAGCTATACAAACCTATTACGAAGCTTACAATTCGAACGTGCATCGTGGAATTCATTATTTGAGGTACTTCATAATTAGTTGTATTGTTAGAAAGCAAGAGTGATATTGTAAATTCAGGATTGATGTAGATAAATTATTTGAGTGAGAACTATACAATACCACCAACCAAAAGATATGTTTTAAGCCTTGATAGTTCCGAAGGATGAGACTTTTCATTAGTTTCTTATTATATTATTGCCTTCCATTTTTTGTTTTTATGGAAATAGTGCAAAGGCAACAGAAGAGTATGAGTTGGCAAGAAAGAAGATTGCAACTTTTATCAATGCATCAGATTCTAGTGAGATTGTTTTCACACGGAATGCCACTGAAGCTATCAATCTGGTGGCTTACTCGTGGGGCCTCCAAAATTTAAAAGCTGATGATGAGGTTCATTTCTTAATTTCCATGGATTTTATTTCCTTACATCTTTATGAGACTATCGCGACTTCATTTTGCATTATATTCTTGAATGAAGAATGCAATGTTTCTTTGTTGTTTTTGTCATTATGATGATCATCATCTCCCTTTTAATTTCTCTTACTGAAAAGAAACGCAACTTCATTAATCCCAAGGAATTATGAAATAAAAATATGCTAGAAATATTTAGGATAGGGAAATGGAGACAGGGGACTTGTTTGAAAAGGCATAATTTTCTGGTTCTTTTCGGCTTCTACAGATAAGGGACTCCTTTCTCTTTAATATTTTGAATTGGATGGATGTAACAAGATAACATTTAAAGGGGGTTCTGAGAGTACTTTCCTTTGTCTAATCCCTAAGAAATTCTCGCAAAGTCAAGGATTTTAGACCAATTAGCTTGGTATCTAGTTTGTACAAGATATTAGCTAAGGTTTTGGCGAATGGGTTGAAAGAAGTTTTGGGGGAAACAGTTTCGAAAAATCAGAGTGCTTTTATCAAAGGAAGACAGATTTTGGATGGAGTGCTAGTAGCAAATGAAGTGGTGGAGGAATATAGAGCGAGAGGCAAAGAGGGTTTAGTTTTCAAAATAGACTTTGAGAAAGCATATGATCATGTGAGTTGGTTGTTTTTAAAACTACTGATGGAGAAGAAAGGATTTGGTTCTACATGGGTAATTGGTTTATGGGCCGCCTTAGGTCAGCTAATTTTTCGATTTTGATTAATGGAAAACCAAGAGGCAGGTTCGGGGCTTTTAGGGGATTGAGGCAAGGAGATCCTTTATCGCCTTTCTTGTTTACTTTAGTAGCGGATGGATTGAGTAGATTGGTAGACAAGGCTTGTGGAAATGGGGGGGGAAAAGGGTTTATCGGAAGAGAGAAAATATATATCTCAAGTGGATTGAGTAGATTGAGTGTTCGAGAGAGAATTTTAGGAATACTCTTGTGCTTTAAAATTTTCTCTCTCGAAGCTCAGGGCTGAACATTAATTTGGGGAAGAGTATTTTGAATGGTATTAATGTGGAGGATGGAGTTATTGTTGACTTGGCTCGGGAGGTGGGGAGTTGGCTGTTGAAGTATTTAGGCCTTCCAAAAGAGTTAGAGAATCGGATGTGGAGGTTTCTGTGGGATTATCAGGAGAATGGGAGCGTAGACAATTTGGTGTCTTGGCAAACTGTTTCGTTGAGCAAAAAAGAAGACAGGCTTGAATAGGTGATTTGTCAAAAAAGAATCAAGCTTTATTAGGGAAATGGGTGTGGAGATTTCCCTTGGAACAAGGTTCATTATGGGCAACTATTATTAGAAGTAAATATGGAGTTCAACGCAATAATTGGGGATTCTAACATTGTCACCAGAGGAACCCATCGGAACCCTTGGAAAAGTATTACACTTGGTTTGGAAAAGAGTGAAATGGAGAGTGGGTAATGGGTCTTCCATTTGTTTTTGGAAAGATCATTGGTGTGGGGATCAGCCTTTGGCAATCTCCTTTCCGAGACTGTATAGATTGATTGTCAATAAAAATGCAAAAATAGTTGAAGTTTCAAATCCTGATGAAGTTTCCAATTTGAATTTGAACTTTGGTTTTAGAAGAAATCTTACTGATACAGAATGTGATCAATTTTTCTGATTTAAGTTCTGTTTTGAATAATGTGTCCTTTTCTCCTTCAATTGCTGATCAGAGGGTGTGGGTGGGTGATTCAAAAGGCTTTTCTTGCAATTCTTGTTTTCATTCCTTGATTCTTAGCAATTCAGTCCCTCCTTTTAATCTATTTCATTTGATTTTGGAAATGTTGTGATCCTTCTAGGGTTAAAGTATTTATGTGGCTGCTTTATCTGAGAAGGGTTAATACTTGTGATTCAGAGAAAAAACCCTCATATTGTTCTTTCTCCTAACTGGTGTGTCCTGTGCAAAAGTAGTAATGAGTCTAGAGATCACTTATTTTTACATTGCAATATGGCTCGATATCTCTGGAGTAAACTATGTGATATCTCTGGAGTAAACTATGCAGGGCCACCGATCTAAGTTTGGCAATGCCTGCTCGTGTTAGTGATTTTTTGGTGAAGTAGTTCGGTTCTGGAAAGGGAAGGAAGGCTCGTGTGATGTGGAAGGCAGCCAAGATTGCGATTTTGTGGGTTCTCTGGCTAGAAAGAAATCAGAGAATTTTTTAGGAGAAAGAAATGTCTGAAGAAGTTTTTGAAAACGAAAAATTTCTGGTTTCATTATGGGCCTCGACAGATCCAGCTTTTAAGGATTTCTTTCTCTCCCTAATCATGATGAACTAGGTCGATGCATTGGGATAGTGGTGCTTAGTGTTATGCTTAGTTTTTATTGTATCTATTTGTGATATTTGCAGTTTTTGTTTTCTTGGTGGACTTCTCGTCCATCTTTGTAAGATTTTATTCTCTTATCTGTTAATAAAATCTTCAGTTTCTTATAAAAAATAAAAAAAGAGGAAGCTTTCTAATATAAGTATTAGTATCCTTTTAGGTATCTATTAGATGAAATTTAGTATTATTCTTTCTTTAATCTTGATGGTTTGGAAAGGTCTGTTTTGATGTTTTTGCTTCAATTTGGCTCTTGATTTTCTGTTGTTATAGAGAAAATTAACTCGTTTGCAATGAAACATTTTTCGCGAAGACCATAGCTTAGAACTATGTGTCTTGGAGATAATTTGGTAAATACCAAAACGTTATTGACTCATTAATGTTGAGAAGCCAAATATGAAAAAAAAGAGTAAAAAATTGTAACATCAAAAGAACTTGTACAGGGTTTTTTTTTTTAAAAATACATTACAAGGCCTTCTTGTAGCATTAAGGTAATTGAAATCTCAGATTTGAAAAGTGGAACAGAGGCATCAGCATATCTCGTTGACTGTTAATGCTGAAAACAAAAACTGCACAGAGAGGTTATGTTTCTTTGTTAAGTTTCAGTTTTGAAAATACATATTTAACTCGAGTCCTACTTTTTAGCCACACAAAAAAAAAAAAAACCCCCATGTAGTTGATTTGCTGCCTGAGGGTGCTCGATGCCTTTGTGAAAGGGCGTCAATATGCGAGAGATTTTTACTATAAAACTCCTGATACCATGTCCAAGAAGGCCAGGCTGTTTTGAGGAGATCATGCTAAATTCATGTGTAAGTCTCTAGGTTTTATTGTGAATGATGTAGGACATACCTATTGGACCTCCAGTCCCTGCAAAACCAGTCCAACAACACACAACCGGAACACACCCACACAACGGAAACCAAAACACCACAGCTAAGTTACTGAAAGGAAACGTCAACCAAAGGAATCGAATTCATTAATCTCGCCGGGAAACCACGAGCTCAGCTCAGTCATACAATAATAGAATAGTATAGTAAAAATATGATAAAATCCCCCCAAATGATCATGCCCCTTAAACCACCCAAAACCATTACAGCCACCCTAATCCCTAGGTCGCTAATACTTATGCCTAACCACCTAGCATCCATGTCAGCAGCCTCCTATTCGATTGCTCCTCACTCTCATGCACTCACTTCCCTTCCCCAACCAAAAACATTGCTCGCACCCCTTTGATAAACCTTGTCGTATTTCCTAGACGACACCCCTCTGTGCCTAACATTACTCCCCTCTTGAAAACTGACCTTGCCCTCAAGGTCAAAATCTAGAAAACGAAGCTTCATCTCCTCAACGTCTTCCCAGGTAGCTTCTTCCAATGGTCACGCATGCCATTTGATGAGTGCCTCCCAAATTTCCTTGGATCCCCTCTTGACCCGCCGTCCGTCGAGCAGTAGCTTCGGAAATAAGGGCTCAGGTTCGAGGTTGGCCCCGGTGATAGCTATAGGCTCGGTAGATAGCGTATAAGGCCCTACCACTTTCTTCAACAACGACACATGGAACACCGGATGCACGCGTGAGCCCTCAGGCAAACGGAGCCTGTAAGCTACCGGCCCCACTCTCTCCAATACCTCAAAAGGGCCAAAGTACCAAGGAGATAATTTCAAGTTGGGACGACGTTCAACAGATAGTTGCCGGTAGGGATGTAACTTCAACCACGCCGCCTCCCCTACTTGGAATTGCCTCTCTTGTCGCTTGCCATCGACATAACGCTTCAACCGCTGCTGAGCATGCGTCAAGTTCAACCTCAACCTCTTCAGCTGTTCGCCCCTCTCCATCAATTGCATCTCCACGGAAACCGATTGGAGTCCTCCCTTCGTGATAACGAACCAGAGTAGGGGGGCTGCGCCCATACAAGACCTGAAATGGGGTAGTCTGAACGGCACCTTGGTAGTTGGTGTTGTACCAATACTCCGCCCAACATAACCAACGGCTCCAATATTTGGGCTGGTCACTAACAAAACAGCGCAGATAAGTCTCCAAGCAACGATTGAGGACCTCTATCTGTCCATCGGTTTGAGGGTGATAGGCCGAGCTCATGCGAAGAGTGGTCTCTTGTAAACGGAATAGCTCCCTCCAGAACCAGCTGGTGACCTTGTCCCGATCACTAACGATACTCCGGGGTGTACCATGTAGGCGGACCACCTCCTGACAAAACACCTCCGTTACTGTCTGTGTTGTATAAGGATGTTTCAACGCAATGAAGTGGGCGAACTTGGTAAGCCGGTCCACCACAACAAAAATCACCTCAAAACCACAGGACTTGGGTAAAGCCCTCAATGAAATCCATGGAAATATCCTCCCACACATCTTCCGGTATGGGCGGCGGCTGTAATAACCCGGCGGGGCTAGAGGATTCCACTTTCTTGCGCTGACACACCGCGCATTCCCCTACAAACCTCTGTACATCCTTAGCAATACCAGGCTAATAGACGTTGGTTCCAATGCGGCGGAAAGTGCGTAAAATCCCTGAATGGCCCCCAGTTGCGGTAGAATGGAACTCCTCGAGCAGCCGCTGCCGAAGTGAAGGGTTAGGTGGTATAGCGATTCTACCCCTATACAGCAGAACTCCATTGAGAAGAGTGTACCCCTTCT